GTTAATCAGTTTAGTACGATTTAATCTTTCGTTTATGTCTCGAGTGTATTTAACGTATCAACTCGAATTCCGATGTTATTTACGTTTACGCTGACGGGATGACTTTCCGACTTGTGACAGCCTTGTCTAACTTCTCTAAGTGGATTGCTAAGTTTGTTTACTGACCTTGCTTCGGACCCACGTGGAAGTTCATATTTTGGCTGACGCTATCAGAGGTTGACTCTGTTGAACGGAAGCATTATGATAAAATACTTCGTTATTCATTTCGGAAGTCTCGTGAAATTGTTTGGTTTAGCATTACCACCTATATCTGTCAGTAGTGACTATTAAAGCTTTTTCTTTATAGGTTACCCAGGAGAGTAGAGAGAAGAGAGAGGAAAGCAGACTAGGCGAGTGAAGACATTGTGCAGAAGAGTAGAGCCAAACTTTTGTGGTTGAAGAAGAAGTATTTAGTGAGAATCAGAATTTGAGAGCCTTAGAGATTAACAACAGTTTCACAGAAAAAATAAGCTTGAATGTTAGTAGAATTGTGTATTGGATCCAGAGAACCGAATAATGAAAGAAAAAATTGAAAAAGGTATTTCCAGAGTATTGGTGCCTTTCGCCGAGCATGGTGTGCTCTTAAGCTGGTTTCGTTCTAACAAATTATTCTAATTGCGTTCTTATCGAGACTTGTTGTTCCTCAAATATCATACTAAAATATCTGTTGTATACGCGATACTTGAAAGGATCAATACCATAACACAGCCAATGATAACGGCTTCAATTAATATCAAAGCAAATGAAGTGGTCATCATTATGTTGAGAAATTGTCATAGAGCACGACCACATGTCAACGGATGTTGGCATACTTTAAACGAAATAGTTTGGAAGTATTGATCTGTATTGAAATAAGCGATTAAGAATACCGAATCAATATCATAGAAAAAAGGCTGTCGATATAATACGTGGTGGAAACAGCACAAATGCATTAGCATCTTTTATCTCATATGTAGTCAGTTCCAACCAAAGGCGCTCACAAAGTTGCCGAGCTAGCCTCACTGAGATCATTCTTAAGGGAAAGAATACGAATGACCTATGGAACTAAGGGAGATGCCAACGTAAAGACCGAATCCACTGCCAGGAACATGACAGTTACTTTCTCGGAAAGCGACGCTGTTGATATCATTGGAAAGATCAAAGTTAATATTCAGAGTTTGTTCGATGCCTCTAAAGAACGGCAACAACGCAAGTTTCTAAAACTTGTGCAAGAGAATCGGATATCCTTCTCACCAACTAATGTCAACATAACATCTCGCGTTGACAGAAATAAATAGGTTAAAGTCGAACTTGTATTAA